AACCAAATCCGCTATGAGCAAGAACTCCAAATCCTAAGGAGAGATAACAAGGACATTCGTGTAAGGATGTTCGCCACTACCATAGAAGAATACCTGTTGTTTCATATTCCTAAACCACGAGGAATGTACACCCTCTTGCTCGAGAATCCCAACAAGGTCAAGAGGGCCATACACATTCCCAAGTAGGCCCAAGCGCCACACACCCTTGAAGAACGTGACCACCCTTTCACAGAAGAGATCAAGGAAGTCTCTCGCCCCATAGATGGAACACTAGTGCAAAAATTGGATTTAAAATCAGAATTTTAAGATCGGTTACGTTGTAACCGATCTTAAAAGTGACGCGGTGGCAATTTTGTAAATAACATGAACACTTTTAAGATCGGTTAAAATTTAACCGATTTTAAAAGTACTTTTAAGATCAGTTATAAAAGAACCGATCTTAAAAGTCTCATTTTCTAAAGTACTTTTAAGATCGGTTCCCTTCCATTCTCATTCCCTTCAATCTTTCCCTGAAACTCTCATTTTTTAAAGTCTCCAATAAGGTAAATTTCGTTGTCATTTTCGTTTTCATTTTCGTCTTCTCATGTTCTTCTTGTGTCTCTTTTCATTTTTTCATGATTTTCTCGTCTCTTTTCGTTGTAGGTCCAGTTTGGGTTCGAACCTGGAACGGGCCGTACTCCAAGGAGAACGGGCCGTTCTCCAAGGAGTACGGGCCGTTCTCCCTGGGAGAACAGGCCGTTCTAAGAGTGACCTTTTAGGCATTTTGATCAGACTAGAACGGCCCGTTCCGATTTTGGAACGGCCCGTTCCAGTTTAATTTTTTCCCCCAGCCAGACTTTTAAGATCGATTATAAAACAACCGATTTTAAAAGTTAACTTTTAAAATTAGTTGTTTAACCGATTTTAAAAGTCTAACTTTTATAATCGGCTCTTTCAAGATCGGTTAAAGAATCGATTTTAAAAGTAAAAGATAACCGATTTTAAAATTCTTTTTTTCACTAGTGGAAGCACATCGCTATAAAGGCATATGATGGGTCCACTTGCCCAAATGAACACCTTGTCGCTTACATGACACGCATGCACCTATACACACATGACGACGTAGTCATGTGTAAAGTGTTCCCCACCTCACTAGAAGGACACACACTCATTTGGTACAACCAACTCGTCTTAAGGAGCCTATAGAGTTATGCCACCCTCAAGTATTTGTTTAAGACACAATTTTCCATAAGCTGACCACACAAAATGTCAGCCATAGCATTGATAAGTCTCTCCCTCAATATGGTGTAATTTTGATTGACCTTTAAGAATTCTCTTAATATATTGAGCCCATTGGAGAGATAGTTCTGACCGTTAAGTCTATATGGTCCCAACACATTAGGTAAGTCATTAGGACTTAAAGGGAGGATTTTTTCATCACCCATGGATGAACCGAGTAGAAAGCAATAAGAGAGAGAGAAATAACTCATATCTATAATAAAATAGAAGGATCTAGATGACACTACCCCTTAGAATGGGCTGGGAGTCGCCAACGAACCTTTTTGGGTGGTCATTGACGAGTGGGTGTCGTCGGAGATGGGCATTTGACCTACATGCACCAGAAAAAAGAGACAAACTATGGTGGCGCATGAGGAGGTTTATGACTGTGTGACTCACAATGTTGTGGTCACCGATGATGGGCGCTCCTTTTATGCTCATAGTTGACTTCAACAACGGTGGTGGCAGTGATGGTAGCAACAGTAGTGACGACAAAGGTGGCAACATCTAAAAAAATAATTTGTTTAGGGCAGTGGAAACAGAGCTCCTAAGATTAGGAGCTCCGTTACCAAGTTGAAAGAGAGGATCTTTTATTAATTTGTTTTATGCATATTACATTCTTCTCTTCCCCTGTTATAAAGATATATTTGTCCCTAAATAGGTAATTGTAAAAATAAATAAGTATAAAAGAAATAAGAAAAGATCATATCAAATCTCCTAAGATATTTTTATTTACAGCAAGTATTTTATTAATAATTTTAATATTTTTATTTTATTAATAGAGATTGTTAAATATTTTCTTTAATTATGTAATATATTTTAGAATATATTATATGATATTTTTATTAAAGAATAGTATAATATTTTATTAAAAAAGAAAGAGATCTTCAATATAACCGAGGTTAATATGTTTAACTAGAGGGTTAAAAGGAGGTTAATATTTTAAAGAGAATTTTTCTTATCAAACCCTTTTTATGCCTCTATTTTCACATATGCGCTTCATAGTTCGAAGTATAGGAGTAGGAAGGAACCTCGCTCTATTTTCTTATCTAGGTAAGGGGGAGTAAGAAACCTCGCTCTAGATGTGAGTTTGTATGTCAAATAGTGGGATTAGCCTCAATCTTGTATTTGTTGAATGCTCATGTATGAGGGGTTTTCCACAATTGTATCTGTTTTACTTCTTGTTCTCCTTATATGTTGTAAATGATGTGAATTGCATGTATGTGTTAGTAATTTGCAAAATTGGGTTGTAAACTATATGTTTTGATGTTCTTGTGGGTTCCTATGAGAACCCTAAAGGAATGCATTAGAGGTTGTATGCATTAATTATGTTGTTTAGAATGTTTATTACGTGATTTGAAAATTTTCTATCAATTGAATTATGTATTTTGGTGAATTGGTGTGTGTCTCATAATTATTGCATTTTCTAATATGCGTTTTGTTTTTGATATGTCACTAAGTGCAACTTGGGGCGCACATGGCACTACTTGGGCTATGTGAAGCGTCATCGAGGTTGAGAGCAAAGTTTGCTCCTACGGTTTCTCACATCGAACATGGAAGCTCTAAGGGTTCCCTGTGATGCTTCTGTCGAGCATATATAAGCTAATTCATGGTAGTTAGGATTTGATTCATGTAATTTACTTGAGTAGTTTAATTTTTATTTTCATTGTAATTTGTTATTTCTGCAAGTTAGTTTATGTTACCAATGTGATTCTTTCTACTTGTGTGGAGTTTGAGTTCTTTTATTTATACGAGGTAAATTATTTTTATATTATGTTATGTGTCACGTATGAGGGTAGAAGGTGTAACAAGTACCTAGGAAGTTATTTCACTTCCATCTATTAAGGAATTATGTGAATAAATATTGATTTAGTTATCAAATACCATAAATGATATAGATTCAAAATATGTCTTTCAAATGAAGTGTTTTGTGTGTTAGACTTAATGTCAAGATAAGTAATCATCTTACATATTATCTTATACCAATTCATGTTATTGATTGATCTAAAAAAACTTTTCTCTAAAAAAACATTTATGTTTATTATCATTAAAACATCAAATATGAGGGTTTTAAGATTATCTTTTAACCTAACAATCTCTTCCTTTTTAATAGTGATAAATATATTTTTGAAAAGAGAAAGTTTTATGCAATACATATCTAATCGATTTTTCTAATAGGCAAAATAGTATGTTTTTAGAATATCTTTTAGAGTAAAAACTTAGTGCGATCAAACGAAATGTCCATTTTAATAAAACTTGGTATCAAAGCCAAGTATGCATGTTTAACGAAAAATTTGTCTATCAAAGTAAAACCCACATTTGTATCAGATCAATTTTATCAAATTTATCAATATCAGAACATAAGGTTTATAATGACATGCTTTGGCTTTCGTATCAAAACATTTAAATATTGGAGCATATATATATATATATATATATATATATATATATAT